GAGTGTTAAATAGTGAGGGAGTGATATGAAACAGCTGGGTGCAATCAGTGTTAACAGCTGTGTGCAATCCGTGCTGAGTGCAATCAGTGCAATGAATGATGGGATATGTAGTCCGGGGTGATGTGCAACAGTGTGTAGTGCGAGAGTCAATGAAATTGGAAAGGGTGACCTCTGATGGCTAGCAGATGGAAGTTCATGGACCGGATTCGTGACAGCATGCATTCAAGGAATACATTTTTATCGGTTTATGCATTCCCTGGCTTGGGAATTGAACCCATGACCTTGGCAAAGCTTTTGCTATATATGATCTACTTTTGAAGTTGGATAATATATATACTATATAAATATAAAAATGTAAATAATACAATAATAAATACAAAATTAAGGATAAAATATAAATAGAATAAAAATTTATTTGATTGAGAAACACTGTACAAATTTAACACAAATACTGTATATAAAAATATATTTTTTAAATTGGCTGAACAAAATAGAGGAAAAATTTATAAAATAAATAAATAAATAAAATAAAATAAAATAAATAAAATACAAATTTAATTCAAAATATATATGCTTGGCCAAACAGAGGAAAAAAAGAAGAACAAAAATAGATTTGCTTGACAAAATGGAGGATTTTTTTATATATATATACAGGTGCATCTCAATAAATTAGAATCATGGAAAAGTTTTTTATTTCAGTAATTCAACTCAATTTGTGAAACTCATGTATTAAATAAATTCAATGCACACAGACTGAAGTAGTTTAAGTCTTTGGTTCTTTTAATTGTGATGATTTTGGCTCACATTTAACAAAAACCCACCAATTCATGATCTCAACAAATTAGAATATGGTGACATGCCAATCAGCTAATCAACTCAAAACACCTGCAAAGGTTTCCTGAGCCTTCAAAATGGTCTCTCAGTTTGGTTCACTAGGCTACACAATCATGGGGAAGACTGCTGATCTGACAGTTGTCCAGAAGACAATCACTGACACCGTAAGGCAACAGAAACATCTCTGGTCACAGATTTGGACGTCTTTGCACTGTATTAAAGCAGAAGGGTCAGACTGACCTCTACATCATTAAAATGCAGTCAGGGAGATAATAAACTAATCAATCGAGCCAGAAGCAAGACAAAGAAGAACAGCAAAGAGAGAAAGAATAGGTACTGTAGAAGAAAAGGAACAACAGACTCAAGCATGTCTACAATTAAAATCAGGCAGTTAATTAGTGCTGTGAATCTTTGGGTAGACAGCGAATCGATTTGATTCACGATTCATAGGTTTTCGATTCGATTCAAGAACGATTTTTGCAAATTCAGAACAATTAAATTCGATTTGATTCGATTCTGCATTCTTTAAGTGCATTCACAGGATTATTTAAATGCTTCCCCTAAATTCTTTAAATGCTTAGTCAGGGGGCAAATTACACAGCAGCCTATATGGTTACAGAACCATAGGTTCAAGAAAAAAAACACATTTGTCCATTGTTAGATCCTAGTTTAATGATGTTATGGCATGACATGGCATATGTAGAAATGTATGTAAGTCAAGATTTTTTAAAAGAGCTTTAAAAGTATTATGTATAGGCCAACATTTTGTCACACCAGGGGCATAGCCATCATTTTAGAAGTGACAGAAATGTCAAATACAATAATTTTATGTATGTATAATT